AAGACTATGGGAAGATGCATAGCAAACTGCAATTTGTTAGACCTAAAACCAAGAATAACTGGATGGTATTTTCTGATTTAGTTAAACAATGTAAAATAATTTTTTCTTAATTTCAAAAATGGCTTGACACTGGGAAAATGGGATGCTGCTGTGCCTTACTTTTGATTTCCAGCATGCCAGCAAAGTGTCTTTCAGGTATCACTTGTTGCGAAGGTGCCTGTTGTACTCTCGATGTGGCATGTGCCTTTTTTGTGGTGGAGCTGGGCTATATGCAGAAATCTGCACATGTAGCTTGCAGTGTGTGTCGGGCATGGAGCAGGATGGGAAAGGAAGAATCTGGGACTGATAATTTCTACCTCCCTTTTTCTGTTGCTTCTGCATTCTTTTCACAGAACTGCCAAGTGCAACCCATTTTCATTTATGCTTTCTAGCACTTCAACATGTAGCATTTCGTGAAAACTTCCAGCAATTAGGCTCAGATTTAGTCAGATGTAGTGCATAAATGTAAGTAACGCCCTTGAGATAGTAAGTGGAAATCTATTTATTTCAATGGAGACTTATTCTTACCATGAGGTTTTACATCTTGCTCTTAGACTGTGTGCTTGGTACCTCCTGACTTGATTTACAGAAAACTTTTTTTTCTTTTCTTTTTTTTTTTTTTTTCCCCTCCTGGTCCTCCTTCCCCTGCTCCAAGCTGTTACTTTCCAGACTTGCTAAAATAACTCCAGGACTGATGGAGCTGAATTAAATCACCTGTGCACATGATGAGTAATAGCTTTGCAGAAGCCCTACCCCAGCTGTGAGAGCAGAAGTTTTTAGAAAATAATTTCCTTACAAGAAGTCTGCAAAAGATTAGACAGCCATTTTGTGGTCTGTGAATATAAATAGCTATTTTAACCCAAAGAACCATCACAGCAGAAATTGCAAGTTGGTTTGGTTTTGTTTGTTTGTTATATGATAGTTTTTTCTATATAGGATGGGCAAATACATTTGTAGATGAGCAAGACCTGGACACAGAAATAGTCCAGTGTCTTGGCATTGGACGTAATGCTGTATGTGCTTGCAGAGACTCCAGATTTGCTCTTGGTGTATCATTTGAGACATGAAAAACCTTTTAATATGCTGTAACTTAAGGGTTGGCATGACCGTGTTTTAATGTGGGTTTAATATTCTCTCTCCTATATTTGTTTCCTCCTTAAATTGTTACTGTGGATAGGGGTAGTTAAAAATAAGAGGTAAATATAGTTAAGAGCATAAAAATAATCAGAATTATTGCATTATGTGAACAAAGCACTCTGGTTATTACATCTAGATTTGTCCTGTTAATATGTGTAATTGTCTTTTTATAAGGATGAAATTTAATCATTAAACCCCCTGACTGCACTTTAGTTGTTACTCTAAATACGTAAAGTATTCTGAATGCTAGCTGAGGTGGTCTGAATCCATAGTTGGAAAAAAAAGAGTTTTTACTTGGAATTTCCAAATTCTAAATTAAATATTTGAACTGAAAATGAAAATAAAATTTACAAAGATTTTTTTGATGGCTAGTTAATGAAGGTAAATATTTAAATTTCCTTGTCAGGACATTGACCAGTTTGTGCTGCATAAAACCCTTAGGTTTAAAATGAAGTACAGTCTAGTTAAACATCAATATATTTGATTTTTCTCTTGAATTTAAGGCTGTTGCATTTGTCATATTTTCATGCATGCATCCTTCTGAATAAACGCAGGTTATATGTAATGTAAATGGCATACGGGAAGCTTGCTGCAGGCTGCCTGGGCTTCCTGTCTCTGATGGCCCGTGTTTCAGCTCTTCTGATTTTGAGGGGCAGTTCAGGCAGGGTACAGACCCAAAGGCCCCCCGGAAAACAGAGTGCTGCCTAAGGATTGAAAGGATACATTTCACTAGTATGTTTTCAGAGGAGAAATTCTTAGAGCTGCAACACTCGTATCTTCATCCTTTCTATTTGCGTGTAATCTGTGAATCCTTGTGTGCTGAAGAGCAGGGTTATGTTCTGTCCTTATAGCATCAGAGAGCATCTCCAACACGCAGCTCATGCTAATAGACTTTTGAAGATTACATCTGTTACTTCCTAGTTTTTCCTAAGTTAAATATTATTGTCTTTTCTGTTGGGTAGCATCTACTGGTTTCAGATGTACTATTCTGCCTGGCTTATAAATCAGCCTCTTAATAAACATGCTGAAACCCTGTTCCCTGAAAGCTGTAGCACTCCACAGAAGCAAGATCTCAGCAGTAATGCAGCGGTTGTCAGCTCTCAAACCAGAGCTGCAGAGGCTGCCCAGCCAGGCATCAGCTGGTGCAGCTCCTGCTAGGATGTTTATGCTGTGGCTCTGCTGTGTTGAAGAAGCCTGTTCACAAAGACCGATGTGAAACAAGTGTTATTGCTTTCAAAATTTATGGAGCTTCTGGACAAAACAAACAAAAGTTGTAGTCATATTTGGAATGATGCAGTCGATTCAAAAAGTTGTTTTCTTCAGTAAGCATTTCAATTTTATACAGTATCCTCGTGCTCTTCAGCGCAGCCCAATCACCAGGGGTTCCTTTCTAGTGTGAAACTCTGATCCTTTCTCTTAAGTGCTCCAGGGTGCTTTTATTCTCCGTCCCATCCTTGTTAGCCTTTGCAGTAGGGTCAACTGATGTCAACTAGGAGCAGAACAGAATTTGGTTCTGGAGTTTGTGATGGTCTTAATTATGGTCTATCCGTAGCTGTGTGGATGAGTAACAAAGCTTCCCCAGACTTTTTTTTTTCCTTTATAGTTGTTCCTCTACATTTCTCTAATGCCAAAGAAGAAATTTAGGCAACTTAAAAAGTTCTTTTTTTTTAATCATATTAAAGTTGCAAATCATTTCTCTCTTCTTAAAATGTTTGAGGAAACCCCAAACTACCTACCCTTGAAGGTAGGTGATAAAACTAGAAAGAACAAGTCTTTTGGCAGTGTCAACTGAAACTAAGGACATTGAGTGTTCTTTATGAGGTAGTTTATGGGACTTGGAGCAAACACACTCTGGAAAAACAAACAGCAATGGAGCTATTTTGCAATGCCAGAAATACATGTCAGTCTGTTTATGTAGCAGCAATATAAATTCCTGCGTGTGTTGTGCTTATTGGGTTGTCTGACAGCGTGATGGTTCATGTCAGAATCCTGATATTTGTGCTATAGTTTGTTTGCATGTGAGTGTGCAATGAATAGAACTGCATGTACTGTATTCATTTGAAGCTTCAATAAACTTATTTGGATTTGAAATGTACAGCAGTTTTTCTGCAGATGGGGATCAGGCATGTCTAAAAATATAAAAAAAAAAAAAAAAAAACTAGCATTTATCTTAAGTAGTGATGTCAAGCTGAGGAAGGATGATGAAACAAAGCTTCTGGTAGTCCTTTACTGCTTCCTTTATGTTCTTAAGACTTGAGATAGAGACCAGAAAAAAAAATGTACCTTGTCATTCTGATATCCTTTGGAATATTATGTGTCTAGGCTTGGTGCTAGTTTTTTGCTGTTAGTTTTTTACTTGTTATTCCTGTTTGCTTTTAAAAAGAGAAAAGGAAAAATATGAATTATATAAAGGTCTTGAGTTTGTTAGTACTTTTCAGTAGTTTCAGTAATACTTGAAAGACCAGGGTGGTGTGTGTGTGTGTGTGTTTTGTTTTGTTTTGTTTTCTTTTTTTTTTTTCTCTTCCCTGCCCTTTCTCTGCAGTATGGTGGTATGACTGTGGGGACCATACTGAATCTGATTTCAAAGAGCAGTTTTTTATTTAAGAGAAGGGGCTTAATGGGGGAGGATTCTGCATCTGTGGTAGTAGTGTTGCACTCACTTTCACAGAAACATTTAAAAGCCTAATGCAGTGGCAGTCCCGAAGGAGTTCACTGTAGAGTTATGTTGCACAGCAGTGGGATGGGGAGAGATGAGGGGGAGAGTCTGTTTGTTCTTCTCTTTTTTTTTTTTTTTTTTTCCCCCCCCTCTCTTTTCTCTCTTTTTTTGCCCTCCTCTCTCCTCTCTCTTTTTCCCTCCTCTTTTCTCTTTTTTTCTCTTTCCAGTTAAAATGCTTGTCACATTTTTTTGTGATATGCATGTTTTTGAATACAGCTTACAAAATTAGTTCTTTTAACACGCAGGCAGTGCCTTTTGGCTAAGATACCTATTAGCTGCATGTTAAAAATTGCAGAGGTGCTAGTGTAATTAGCTGACATATCTTTTGCTTTTTAACATCTGTTTTCTGTCACTTTAAATTTTATTGCAAAATAGCTTCATCTTAAGCTTTTACTTAATATGCAGCTACTTTCTACCAAATAATACATCTTGCAGAGCTTGGCAAATTTCCAGGAACAGCTTTCCTGTAGTATATTTCCACAGTATATTCCTATAGTTTTGGTTTGCAAGATTTGACAGCAGATATAGATGAAGTTCTTACATGGCAGCGTAGCTGACACAGGCAAATATGGAGAGGGCCTGAGTCTTCCCGGGGGAAGCTTCCGGAAGGCCTCGCTGCTGCAAAGCGCCCGCTGTGTCTGCTCGGTGCTAGAGTCACGCGTTGTCTCTCTTAACTAAATATTGACCTGAAATTCAACGTGTTTTGCAGGTTCCTGTTTTTAACTGTTTAGTGCTCTATTTTTTCATTCCTCCTTCTGCAGACAATTTTTAAATTTCCTTGCAAGAATTTCGGAGTTCCTTAGAAATAGGATTCTGCCATTTGCTTGACGGAGATGTACCCTAACTTAGATATTTACTTCAGGAGAGACAAATAGGTTTTTAAGCGTATTGGTCAAAGGTGTTTTGTCTTTACATTTGATAGTATAAGAGTATTGATTGTTTGAACTTAAGTTCCTTTATTTACCCTGACTGTAAAGTTGCACTGGCTTTTTAAAATTATTTCAATATCTGAAATGAATACTTAAAGAATCATGTCAAGTGTTCATATGAATTGACTCTTTGTATATCCCACTGTTTGATGTGCTGGTATTTGTTTATTTAATTTCAGGAATTTGCAGCACTTACGAAAGAGTTAAATGTCTGCAGGGAACAGCTGCTTGAAAGGGAAGAAGAAATTGCTGAACTGAAAGCAGAAAGAAATAATACACGGGTTAGTTCCTTGTCTTCATCTTTAGGATTACCACTGATAAAGCATCCAACTACCTGGAGAAGAGTACTGAACATTGAGTTTGGAATAAGTGTTGTGTGTTTGGTTGAGGTTTCTGTCTTCCACCAATTGGTATGTGCACATGTGTGCTAAGAAAGTCTGAAAGTTTATAAACGGTCCCAAATACCACTGTGCAGAATCAGGAGAAAACTTGAGATAACTGTTACCAGTCACTTGGCTCTCTTGTCGTAACTGTTTTTGAAATGTGAGGTACAGTGATCTACTCCAGCAGTTTACAGTGGTAGGCAAAACAGTTGTTCTCCAATCTAGAGTATATTCTATATGTATCCTTCTAACAAGCCAGCAGGTTCTAAGACTGTTGGAACTGAAATAACTGGCTAAGTAGAGACCATATGTAAAAGCTAGGCTGAAGGACTAGGTAGGGAATCTGTTAACTCTGATATTGCTTCTTATGTGGATGAAATGTTAAAGATACATAGATTTGATATAATCGTCTTTGGCTCCCAGATTGGAAGCTTGGTTTCCAGACTTGATGTCTTAGGAGGCAAGGTTATTCACAGTTATTCATAGCAGGAATAAACATTGTTCCTCTTTTGTTTCAGCTATTACTAGAACACTTGGAGTGTCTAGTCTCCAGGCACGAGCGATCCCTCAGAATGACTGTTGTTAAGAGACAAGCTCAGTCTCCAGCAGGAGTTTCTAGTGAAGTAGAAGTTCTCAAAGCACTAAAATCTTTATTTGAACATCATAAAGCTCTTGATGAAAAGGTAACGAAATATTCTACCTAACATTTTCTCATCTTATTTCCTTTGGTTTTTGTGTGGAGCAACAAGTTGTTAGTGCTAAGGCAGCAAATGTCAGCTTCTCTGAACTTTTTTCTGTATTAATATCACAGCTTGGATATAACTGCATCAGTAACTGCCCTTCAAAATTAATATGCTGTGAGGAAACAAGGTGTTGTAGTTTGTTCCAGTACTTCGTCAGCTCTGCTGGTGTAAACCAAGCATGCTTCGTGTGCAGCATACCTGCTAGGACTATATCCACTCGCCTGTGGAATATCAGGAAACAATCTTTTCCAGGTGGAATGCAAGGAGCTTACACTGAGGCATACAGTAAAGTTGGATTAAAAGAACTTTGACCTTTAGTTATTCCTGGTGTTGGCATAAGTCTATGCAATTAGTGCATTTTGCTGCCAACTCATAGTTTGGTTAGCAGCTTTTGTGACTATATAAAGTCTTGCAATTTATTTTAAGTAAATTTCTGTTACTTCAGGGATGGATGGGGGGAGATTTTTTTGTAGTGTCTGCTAAGTTGTTGTTAGCACTGTCTACAAACCGAGCAGTTTTCCAAGAGTAATAGAAATAAAGCCTCATTTATTATCTGAAAATGCAAAGTGAAGTGGCTATACGTAAAATTTTTCTTTTGATATAAATAAATGATTCAAAATAACTGTTTCAGGTAAGGGAGAGGTTACGAGTAGCACTTGAAAGATGTAGCTTATTGGAAGAAGAACTAGGTACTACGCATAAAGAGGTAAGTTCCTTTTTTAAAAGGTTTCAAGTATGCCTGGGCAGGTGGTTAATCAATATTTGCACATTTATTCAGTTAAGTTCACTGCCTTGGACTTATGTATTTTTTAATTGATAGAGTTGATTTGAAGTTGTTCTGATTTGAAAGAACAGGAAAGGGGTGGAAGGGAAGAATTCCTGTGGCTTCAATACAAGAGGAGGGTGATGATATCATGGAGTAATTTTTTTTCAATAGCCTGTATCATGTTTTATTACTTTGCGCTTTCAGTGAAATTTGTTATATGCATACAATACACGTGTGTTAACTTTTTAAATTTTAGCTAATGATTCTGAAAGAGCAAAACAATCAGAAAAAAACACTACCGGATGGAATGCTAGATCTAAATCATGAACAAGAAAACACACCAACTACCAATGGGAAGGTATATTACTTTTTTTTTTAAACTATATGAGTCTTAAGCATAAAACTTGAATATCTGATTTTGAGTGAAAATTTAATTAAGAAGTCTCTTATTGCAGTATAGACTGTATTTTACGGGGAAAAAATATCTTGGGGGAAGGCTTTATTCATGAATGTAACAGTGTTTTTTCTCAGACTTTAAATATAATATTTCAATTAAATAAATACAATTTTCTGTGTAACAGAGATCCTCGGATGGTTCATTATGCCACGATGAAAACCTTGCTAAAGTGATTGAACTCCAGGACATCATAGACAAGCAAAACAAAGAGCAGACACAAATGAAAGAACGTCTTACTGCTTTGTCTAGCAGAGTAGCAGAGTTGGAAGAAGATCTTGACACAGCTAGAAAAGACTTAATAAAATCTGAAGAAATGAATACAAAGTTACAGAGAGATGTACGAGAGGTGAGGAATAAACTTTTAAAATGTAGGCAGTCCTAAATAATTTTATAGAACAATTTTATCAGTCAAATTGGTTCTTAGTTGCACATTGACATTTTAACTTTTGTTGTTGTTTGGAAGGTTTGTTTGGAAAAAAAAACTTTTTTAATGTGATAGTCTTCTTTTAAAATATTACAGTCGCAAAAATTCTGAAAGGAAAACTAATGATTAGCTAGGTTTATAGATTAGCTAGCTTCTCATGTGAGTATATCAAGGTAGAAATTTATCTTTATGGACTTCAGATATTCTTGAAAAAATGCTTGGTCTTGTCATAAGTGTTCAGTTCATTAATGAAATCTAAATTTTCTCTTAAAGATGTGCATGATTGAGGAATCTGCTTAATTTTAAGTGGTATGATTGGCAGCCCTGCTATCAATTGGTCACTCGTCTCCAAGGTCCTGTGTCTTGCTGTTTACTCCAGAAGAGAGTTTTATAATAATTTGAAAGACAGTTTAGTTAAGTACAGGAACTCTTTGGTCATACACATGAGTTGATGAGTGGCAGATCTGTGGCAAGCTTGGGGAGGGCAGTGGTTTGTGGTTTGTAGTGGTTTGTTCTTTAGCAGTGCATTTAAGAATTTTTAGAAGTCTTGCATACACTACAGCATACGTGCTTTTTAAAAAATCTATTTATTGATTTATTTTTTTACTAAATAATGATCTCAATCTCTGTTAGTGACTAAATTCTGTTCTGTGTCTTCCGTAGACCATGGCCCAGAAGGAAGACATGGAAGAGAGAATTACAACTCTTGAAAAACGCTACCTCGCTGCACAACGTGAAGCTACATCTGTGCATGACCTCAATGATAAACTTGAAAATGAAATTGCCACTAAAGATTCCATGCATCGACAGGTTGTAACTTAAAATAAAATATAGTCTTGAAATAAGCTACAAAATTACCACCTTCTCCTTATAAAATTAAAGGAAATAATGTTTTTACTATAGTAAGCAGTCTTGTTTTAGGAAGACACATCTGTAATGTGCTGTTGTTAGTGCTTGCCTTTTTTAGTAACTGGAGGGGCATGCATTGTAGGATTTCTTGCAGAGTTTTACCCTGAAAATGAATATGAGAGTTTCCTGGGAGAAGAAATGGTATTGCAAATTTTAGTGCACTTGATCACATTGCAGCAAGGCTGTTGTCCTTGTGAGATAAGCGTACTTATCAAATTCTTCTTCTTTTTAATCTAGATGATTAACCTTACAAATGGTTTTGTTCCTTTTGTATATCCACCCTCCCATACTGGCTCCCATACTGAATCTGTGCTGTTTGGTATGAAACTTATATGAGTTCCAGGCTTTGGGTTGTCTGGTTGTGCTTGCCCTTAATCTGTCCCACACATCTGTTCTCTGCATCAGTCAGGGTTTCTTCTGAACCTTAATGTGCTTTCAAGATATGCAGAAGTAGGTGGAGTTAGAACATAATTGTGAGAAGCTGGAAAGTGAAATGCCCCCCTGGCTTGTTGCTGGTGATCTGAGAAGGAAACAGGCTGGAGAGCAGAGCTGCCTAAGAGAGGAGGCTGGTTGAGATAATAATAAGGGGCTGAGCTGCAAGGAGTTGCTTGTGACCTGAGAAGCTTAGCAGGGAGCACTAGTGCTGAGTTGTCTTGTGCTTTACGCCTTTGGGGAAAGGTTGCTTTGGGTTTGTGTAGGAGTTTAAAGGTGATTTTTATAGCCTATAATACAAGTAACTTACCTTAAATGCTGGAAGAAAATTCTTACATGTGAGAGAGGAAATTTTCCAACTTTACAAACCAGGAATGGTTGTTTAGCTAATCATTTTCTAACTAGAGGGAAGCAGACAAACATTTAGTCAATGAGAAGACCCATTTAGTCATAATTTTAAAAAGTGTTGAAATGTTAACTTGAAAAAGAAAGATAAATAAATGTTGTGGTAATATGCAGTGTTATTTAAAATACAAAGGAGTTGATGCCTGGATGTAACTCACTCAGCATGACCTTGGTAATGAAAATTTACTTGCTCTATGTTGCTTCCCCTATCGCAATTATGTTTAGTCAATGATAGAGTTGCTTTAAGAATACACAAAGTTGTATGCAGTGAAAACTTGCAGAGAAAAAAATGTTTTCTCATGTGACAAATGGGAAAATTCCATATCTTCTGGTTATGAAACCAGTTTGGGGACACTTGTTTTTTATATGCCAGTAATATACGTCTTTACTTTCCCCTTTGAAAATTAATTACCATTTTAACACTAAATATTGCTGATCACAATCCTGTGTAGAGTGAAGATAAGAACAGACAACTGCAAGAACGGCTAGAACTGGCTGAGCAGAAGCTGCAGCAGACTTTGAGGAAAGCTGAAACTTTGCCAGAGGTGGAAGCTGAGCTGGCACAGAGAGTTGCAGCACTTTCAAAGGTGGGTTGCCTGGGATGCTCTGCTCAAACTTTTTTTCCCCCTGTTAACATACCCTTATAAAAAATCTGTGCTTACTATTGTTTTCATTATTGTCAGGTTTCTGTTTTTCAAAAGGTCACTTTAAAAAAAAAAAATTCCTATTTTCTGTGCTTTCTGTTCATCTCTAGGAGTATAATGTAATGATTTATCCTTCTTATTAATTTCTGCTCTTCAGAATTAAAGCATGCTGTTTTCTTAACTCTGTGTCGTATTATGAAAATGTCTCTGAATTACTGCTGAGTTACTTTTTATTAAATTTCATTCAGTACTAGGCATAAAGAATTCTAAAACAGTAACTATTTTGAAGGGGGAAGTGATCATTTCTTCCTCTTTTAATCAAGTGAGGAATATGTGCATGTGGGAAGAGAGAAGTAGTGGTAATTATTAATTCTAAGATTTTCTGGAAGGCACTAATGCAATAATGAAGTCTGAAAAATAATATAGTAACCACAAAAAAAAAAAAAAGCTTAAGTATGGCGTATTTTTCTTTTGTTGTTTAAGTTGTAGTTTCATTTATTTCCCTGTTATCTTTCCTGTCCTGTACTGGCTCTGTAGTCTGACCTTTTGTCTTCTGGGATCTCTGCTGCTAAAGTATTGGAGCTTACCGCCAAGCTTAGGAAGGTAGAGCTTGTACATTAGTCCTTGTTTCTGCTTGCTGCTTTTTGCTTTTCATTATTACTAATGAAGGGGGATAGTGTCTAAGACGGTGAAGAAAAGCTAGAAATTCATTTAGTTTTGAATTTGCATTTTTTTGAATCTGCTATGGGCTTAAATGAATATTTGCTGTTGCAAACTCATAAGCAAATAATAGTTGTTTCAGAGTACAGAGAGAGTTTTGTTACTTAATGTGAATTATCAGTAGGTACTTTCAATTACAGAAAGGCATTTATTTTGCACTGTGTGTTACCACAAATGGCAGTTTGTGCAAAGCATGTTAGATATCTCCTGGTATGTCAACTTTTCTTTATGCTTTTGAAACCTGTAGGAAAAAACAAACAAACAAACTTCTAGTTTTGCTTTCAAATTGACAGGCTGAAGAGAGACATGGCAATATAGAAGAACGGCTCAGACAGATGGAAGCCCAGCTAGAAGAAAAGAATCAAGAACTGCAAAGGGTACTATATGTATTTTTGTCAAAAAAACAAAACTGAAAGAAATGTTGGGATCTCCTTCCTGGCTGCACACCAATCAGCAGAGCTTCTGTCTCTAACACAAAGCCAGAGTTTAGGCTGAGTGACAGTTGGGAGACTGCGTCATAGCCAACCTTAAATATCAAGAATAATCTCTGAATTTGTAACCAAAGTTCAAAATAAAAATGGAAATACTAGGCATTTGGAAAGGAAATACTAGGCATCCGTTTTCCAGTTGGAGGATAAGCTGACTGAGTTTACTGACCATGGAAATATTGGTTCATAGGTTATAGTAGTGGAATTGATTTTGAGATGTGCTTGGTCATGAAGCATAAACTTAAGCTTTGAAGCTTCTGATTTTGGAATTCTTCAGTTATTAAAGTCTGAAGAGTCTCTTATACTTTCATGAGTCTACAAGGGAGTATGTGCAATGTTTCTTATGGCCAAAATGTCTTCTCTAAAGAAAATAAATTCAGATTGATTCTTTTTTTTTCCCCACAACCTGGAAATCACTTTATAGACTTGTTAAAGGCTATTTCAGCAGCCTTTTGATAAAGCTTTCCTTATATATCTTAGGCTAGACAGAGGGAGAAGATGAATGAAGAGCATAATAAACGCTTGTCAGAAACTGTTGATAAGCTTCTCTCTGAATCCAATGAAAGGCTTCAGCTTCATCTCAAGGAAAGGATGGCTGCCTTGGAAGATAAGGTAACTCTAAGACACATTCCAGCATAGTCATTAATTAGATGTTCAGCATTCCATTGTATTTTTTGTATTTTTGCAATGCCTGTATATGATGGTAAATAAATATATTCGCTCTTGAATATTAAAAAGAAAAAAATCTGGAGAAAAATACATTAAAGCTGTATTAACAAACAGTTTCTGTAAAAGGAAATTTCTAATGTGAATTTTGAGAAATTCTTAAAATTCCTTTTTTTTTGAAGTTATTTCTGGGCATAGTTCTTCAGTGTTGAGAAGACATTTTTTTAAAAAAAAACTTAATCCTTTCTTGTTTCATTGGTGTAAACTGTATAAGTGGGCTCATCCAGTGTAAGACAAGTCTGAAATCAGAGCTAGAACTTCGACCTTTTCAGTAAGGCTGTTTTTTTTTTTGCCCTTTTGTTTTGTTGTTGTTGTTTTCCAATTTTGGAACTAGATCACTGTGGATTTTTTTCTTCCAGAAGTTTAGAAGTTTAATTTGCTTTTAGCATTTTGTTGACTTTGAGTTGATTTTTCGTGGTTCAAAAAATACTTAATTTATTGCATAGCAGAAAACACTTTGAACAAAGAGATTGCAGTTGTAAATACATTTAATTTGTGATTATATTTTTGTTTTAGAATTCTCTTATTCGAGAAATTGAAAATTCAAAAAAACAAATAGAAGAGCTTCAACATGAAAAGGTATAATGTGCTTTATTATTACTTTTATTCACAAACTTAGCTACCACACTTCTGAATACATGAAGTGACTGGATATATTGGTAACTTAACAAAGCTTGACATTTCTGTATGAATTTTTATACTGTTGCATATATAACCCTGACCTGTAAAAAGAAGAATGTTTTGAGTGGCAGGTCTGTGAGTGTCATGAAATACTTGTGATTTTAAAATTTCAAGCTTTTAAGAAATGTGTGTGGGGAGGGTCTTGGCTGGTCTTTACAGTAGAGGCTGTCTGGCAGTTTCCTTGCCTTGGTCCTGATCAGATCATGAATGATAGCTGTGAGGTCTTTCATTTCTTGGCAATAAAATTTTAGATCACAGCATTTGTTCTGAAATAATGCTTCCTATTACTTACTAAATCACTGCAGTTCCTCACATCCTCCTAGTAAGTGGATAGGACAAACTGTAGAGGCTGTGCTTCTGTAATGAAAATGAAGAACACAGAGTATATGGCAGGATGTGTTTTGAATTTTTGTATGTGTAGCCAAGCAGTTTTCACCCAAGTCACAAATATTCAGTCAGCCATTTTTCTTATTCTTTCATTGAAGTTGTTTGGTTTTTTTATGAATTGTTGTTTTTATAAATCATTGAATTGTTTTGTGGTTATATTCCAAGTATCATAACGTCCAAATTAAAAATAGATGCTTTTAGGACCTGTTGTGCCCAAAGCTTGAAAAGTCTGTGTTTTTTTTTTTTTTTTTTAGTTATGTATACAGACTTATCTGTAGTAAGTAACGAGATTTTTTTCAGTAGTTCTCTTTTTAAAGAATACATCATTATCTACATTTGTAGTGTAGAGAGAGATTAATCCTTAGATGCATTTCCATGATGATGCTGGAGCAAATATAATTTTTAGGTTTTGTATTGTTGAGTGATAGTATTTAAAATCAGTTAGCTCCATTTTTCAGAAATGAGATTAAAGGACTAAGTAATTCAAAATATTTGACACTTATTTTTTAAAAGCCTATTTTTATCTGTTTTTTTACAGGATCAGCTTATTTTAAACATTGAAACATTAAGGGCTGAAAATGACCAAGTGAGACTCAGAGCCACATCGCTGCATCATAGGTACCAGTACTTAACAGCAATACGTTTTTTTCTAATTGCTTCAACGTCATTTTGCTAGATGTAATTGTTTCTCTGTTAAGCATATTTTTACTAGCTGTAGCCGTAAGCCACAGTAATTATAGAGCACATGAACTAGTTCTTACAGTGCTAAAAAAAGAAAAAAGGAAGGAGGAAGGAAAAAAAAAAAAAAAGGAATGGATAGGACAATAGGAATAGTTTGGATAGGGTTTTTTGTTTGTTTGTTTCTTGGTGTTTGCTTTTTTTTCCTTCCCTTTCCCCCCATACCTAAGGATAAAGTGTTTCTTCATATTTTAGCCGACCACATTTGGGTAGTGTACCTGATTTCAGATACCCAATGACATCTTCATCTGTGGCTGACAGTCATGCAGACTCCTATGGCACCTCATCTGTGTTAAGGCGTCCCCAGAAGGGGCGTTTGGCAGCTCTCAGAGATGAGCCATCAAAGGTAATAGAACAGTAAAACAAAATAACAACGTGGATTAACCAATTCTGTTGTAAGAAGAGTTTGTGGAATACAAGTATGCAGCAACAAAACTGCTAGATATTTCTTTAGACTTGCTTATGTCCTGTTTCACTAAATGCGTAGTCATTTTGATTGTCATCAAGTAATTGCAAAGTTGGAATTTTGAGGTCCTGCTTGTTTTAAGTATGAAAGGCCAGTAAAATATAATCTGAAATGGTCCAATTCTTATGTGTGTACGCTTTCAGATTTGAACTTGCATTTACTAATCTAACATGTTATTGCTTGCAAGCAATTTCAGAGTCTCTTTCAGGACATGTAAGTTCACGTTATATAAAGTCGATTCCAAAATTTTCGTTGGATTTGTTAGCAAAATTCTGCAGTAACTTAGAGTGTATAAGGCCAAGATATGTGATGTTGTTATTTATTCATTGGTTTTGTCCATTTTTAAAATTTCACTTAACTATATTATGTAAAGTTTTCTGCATTATGGCTTTTGTTTTTACTTTTCTCTAAATATTGCCATCTTGGTGGATACATTCAGCATGTAAGTGGGCTGTTAAAAAAATTTAACATTTTGGAAAACAGTAATAATGCCTTTTATTTTTTTCCCAAGTTGAGCTTGGATTTTGTTTTCCATCCTCTTTTGGCAGGTTCAGACTCTAAATGAGCAAGACTGGGAGCGAGCCCAGCAAGCAAGTGTGTTGGCAAATGTCGCACAAGCATTTGAAAGTGATGTTGATGTATCTGATGGTGAGGATGATAGGGAGACTATATTCAGTTCAGTTGATCTGCTGTCACCAAGTGGTCAGGCTGATGCTCAGACTTTGGCTCTGATGCTTCAGGAGCAGTTGGATGCAATCAACAAAGAGATTAGGTATGTTTGTTCTGCTCTTACCATTTTTTGTGACACGGGAAATCCCAAAATTTCTCCCACATTTTTTGTGGTTACAAGCAAATTTCTTTATCCATTCAGTTTCCTTGGGTGGGAGGCAGGAGTAGAAATTCATAGTGTCTGACAGCTTGTAAGGTGCTTTTAAATGTAAACAGTGGGGAAAAAAAGAAAGTTATATATGAGGTATTAGTGGTGGATCCAGCTGTTACATGAGAGTGTAAGTTACTGGAATACACTTGATTGGCATGTGCTAAGTAGTAGTGTCTTGTGACTGGCTACACTGCTGATCATATTGGGGGTAACTGTCCCTGCTTTTTATAATGTGCTGCCCAGATTTCTTGAAACAAAGTATCTTCTGTCTCATAGATTCTGAAGAACTTGGGTAATTGAAATACTTCTGGAAAGACTTCAGTTTCTTTCTTTCTGGGACTGACATAGAAGCTTTTATTTAATGGAAAGTGTTTGCCATATGCCCAGATTTTTGTAGAAACCTATTTTAACTAGTGATCCACAAAGCATCTTCCAAACGAGCCTTACAGAATCCTTGTGAAGGTGACACTGTTACGTTTTAGGGAAAACAGATGTGTGGAAGTACACACATTATGTCAGTAGCTTATCAGTTGCAAGTCTAGCCTTCTTTGTCTCTTGTCCAGGTATTTTTAGTCAAACTTAATATGTTCCTATACCTAAAAATAACAAAATAGCCTTGGGTACCTAAACTCCCTTCCCTAACTAGTTACCATATGCCTAAATATGCTTTTCAGGTTCTTTATTTAAGAAAATACCTTGTGTTTTCATCTCTTTAAAAGATTCAGTCCCATTCGGGGAAGTGGTGACAGTAGTTGTTTTCACTATTGCTTGGATTTGTTTGTTTTTTATGCCTGGATCAGCCCTCCTCCTGTGAGCATGACTGTTATGTTCCTTTGGAATTTTCTTTCAGACTCATACAAGAAGAAAAGGAAAATACAGAACAGCGGGCAGAGGAGATCGAAAGCAGAGTAGGTAGTGGAAGCTTGGACACGCACGGTCGTTTTCGGTCGATGAGCTCCATTCCTCCTCCGTACGCAGCTGGGTCCCTTGCAGGCTCTTCCCCTCCTGGCAGTGGCCGCTCCACGCCGAGGCGGATCCCACACAGTCCAGCTCGGGAAGTGGACAGACTAGGTATCATGACACTGGTATGTATCCGTTCATTTGGATTCTTCAGAAGATGGTGCTCTTTTTCTTACGAAAAGGGGGGATTAAAATCGATATTTTTCTCCTTCTTTCCCTTCCTAGTCGGTTGTATTTTTAGTCTCTTCAAGTTTCTCTACTATTCCCTTTCACTTTCTCTAAAAAGTATAAGCTGTAGTCATAATCATGTATCAGGCAGGTATACCACGTGGTCAGCACCCTGTGCCTTGGTATTTTTTCTGTTGTTCTGGTCTCTCTTCGAGTTCCTCTTCCTAGAAGACATGATGCTTTTTTCCCAAGCCCCTGGCACAGCAGCCAGTTGTTCCCTCTGTTTTAAACATCAGTCAAACATCTTTGCAGAGACTCTATTTTTAGCAGTCTTCCACTGAATATTCAGCTAGAGTGATTTGCATACCATACTGTTTTGCATAAGTCTTGAAGATAGGTGTATTTTTTTAAGCACAGTTGTTTTTAATAGAAATGAATGCTACCATCTTGGAACCTGCTGAGGTAGAAGGAGTATCTGTTAGAGTCGGTATTTGACTGAGGCATAGCTCAGGCAAGCAGTTCAGTGAGCAGAGATGGATCCATTCTCCAACATTCATAAAACTGCTCAGAAAAGTTAATACTTCTACAAAATATTTCATATTTTTAAATATACTTGTAAAAAGATACAAATTTCTGGCTATTTTTGTTTTCACTCAATCATAGAATCATAGAATCATAGAATGCTTAGGGTTGGAAGGGACCTCTAGAGATCATCTAGTCCAACCCCCCTGCATACGCAGGGACACCTAAAGCACGTGGCACAGGACTGCATCCAAGCGGGTTTTGAAGATCTCCAGAGAAGGAGACTCCACAACCTCTCTGGACAGCCTGTTCCAGTGCTCTGTCACCCTCACTGTTAAGAAATTTTTCCTTAAGTTCCTATGGAATTTTTGATGTTTCAGTTTCCAAGTCTTAAACCTAACAGTTTCTCCTGTCTGAAATACTTTTTGCCAAAGAGCATGTTAGATACAGGTATTTGCCAGCACTTTCTGGGAAAAGCTGCTCTAATGTAGCTCTGTATACCTGTTTTATCTACAGACTGGTATATTCATTTAAAAACCATGCTTAGTTTTACATGTAACTCCATGCTTACCGCACTCTATTGACTTGGATTACTGCACTTGGATCATGCTGATAACTATATCAGTTGGTAGACAAGAAATGTACTGTGAAATACTGTCTGGGCTCGTTTTGGTCTCGTAGAGTCTTTAAAAGCAAATATTTCTATCTATTTTGCAAACTTTCCAAAATGAATATGTAAGTGTACTGAAAGGTCTATTTTTCCTTCTTTTTAATCACAAGAGGGAATCATTTGACTTTTCCTCTGTTAAAGAAATGGATTATACTAGGTCTAGTCATATATCCAAGGTCAAGCACAATAGAAAAGTATTACTGTATGGAAGTGAACTATGGCTGGCACTCCTGTTTTTGAGTTACTACAGGATTACTGCTTTTTAAGCTGCGTAGCAAAAGTGGCTAGGGTTTCAGAAGTGGCTCTAATGCAGACAACATGCTAAACTCGCCTGCAGTGACTGCTGCATATGTTACATAGTTCAAGAAGGGTTTTTCACACCAAATCAGAAATCTTCTGACTTTGCGTGGAAGTGAGGTGTTGCTTTTCCATACTTCACTAATTTTCATGCTCAGGATAATGCATATATTTTTGCACATATATTTGTATATCTGGATACATATGTTTTTCCCCTCCTTCAGGGATACATTTAAATATTTTGTCATTTGAAGAGTACTCTGTACTGTGCATCTTTCCTGTGCTATAGCTGTTACTGTTAGTGTCCTGAATATATGTTGTCTGTGCTAGTGGCTTGAATTTGTGCTACAGTTTACAATAAATACAGCTCTTATAAATTTCTTTTTTTTGCATGCATCTATCAGCCTAGTGATTTAAGGAAACACCGTAGAAAGGTAAAAAATCTTCAGCTTATTTACTGGTGTGCCTCTTCTCTTCCTTCCTACCTGGTAACTCGTAAGTGGAAAACAGGAAAATTAGAGAAAGTGCACGGTAACCCTGTAGAAGAGCAAGATTATATGCTGTTTGATATTAAGAATATAAAACATTTAATCTTTAACAAAAGAGACTAGAGCTGGTGAAATTACTTTAGTTCTTTGCCCTGTGTATGGCTAAACTGCTGCTTGCTCATTTTATTAGCCAAGGCTGAAATTTAGTGGTTTTTCAGTAGCGGTAACAGGAAACTTAGAATTCAAGGGTAAAATATGCAACTCTAGAATGATAAGGAAAAGAATAAGGGAAAGAACAAGCCTTTAACACTGAAATGATAGATTTTTTTTTTCCTTTTAATCTCTTGTGTAGCACTGATACTAGATTCACATCATATAACATTTCAACTGAATTCTAAAGTTTTCATTCATTTTCCATTAGTCTCCATCTTCTAGAGAAGAGGTACGAGATGATAAAACTACAATAAAATGTGAGACATCGCCACCTTCCTCGCCACGATCTTTGCGTTTGGACAGAGTCCAAAAAGGCGCTTTGCATACAGTAAGCCATGAAGATATCAGGGACATAAGAAAGTAAGTAGCTGCAAAGAGTCATCCTACCAGTAACTTAATTGGCTTTTCAGAATATCAGAATTTAATTCGCATTACTTTTTTTTTTTTTTTTTTAAGTGATCTTCAGGTCCTCGTTGTAGTACATATTCTGTTCCTTTTTATTATATGATTTATTACATTATTTATTACATGATTTAGTTTCCAGTGTTTATGCTTTGTGATAACGTATTTTATTGGATTCCTTTCTTTCTGTGATATTCATTAAAAACGAAAATAGGTATCATTAGTGAGTTAGAGTTTTTATTAGCTTGCACCAAAAAAAAAAGTCTTTTGCTGTGTTACTGTGCACGTGCTTCTTTATGACTCTTTTTTTTTTTTTTTTTTTTGTAAAGTTCAACAGGCTCACAAGATGGACAAACAAGTAATCCTAGTAGCAGCAATAGTAGCCAAGATTCCCTTCATAAGGCCCCCAAAAAGAAGGGGATCAAATCCTCTATTGGCCGCTTGTTTGGCAAGAAAGAAAAGGGACGACCTGGACAAACCAGCAAAGACACATTAGGACAAGGTTGGTATCAGCATATTAGAAAGTGATCTTTTGGATGTATGTCTCTGTATGTGTGTTTATGACTGATTATTTTTGTTTCTGATGTACAGCATTTTTCCAAACTTGTGACAGTGAATTTTCTGGTAGGTCTTCTGTGATTATAGCATGTAAGTTCAGCTTGCCATATATATATATATGTATTTTTTTTTTTCATTCTGTCATTTACTAGATCTTTCTTAATGCCCTCATCAAGAAGACAAAGTTGGATTGTGTTGATCTTATTGCCATGCCTGGCAAATGTACAAAGCACTTTGCCACTGGAATGTCAAAGCTGAGATGACTCAGTAAACAGGCACATTAGTCCCCCAGGAAGATGACTGAGTGCCAAATTGGTTTTCCTGCATATCAGTACTTAGTAGTTCACTCATCTCCAGTGCTCATAATTGAGATACATTTTGTTTTGGGTTTCATTACATTGAGCAGTTAAGGTAATGGAGACTGAAAGCCATACTTTACTTCTAGAGCTCAGTCAGGAAGAGAAAGCCGAGTCCTCTGTGTTGATTTCCTTCCTAGCCTGGTATTGCAGGAGATCATTCCTGCCCACCTTTATGCTCACAAATGACCTGGGGCCTTTCAGTAGATGCTGAATAACAACAAGTCTTGCATAAGCATGTGACTCTTGCCCAACAGTTAGCAATATGAGAACTTACTTTAAAATGCGATATAACAGAGTTGAAAGTTTTGTAATGTTTGCCACAGCATAATGGTATATAAAACTAGCAGCACAACTAATATGTTAGAATTTCTAAAATTAAAAATTCTATTTATTTTAACAGGAAATTCAAGATTCAAAGCTTTTTAAAAATAATAATTGGAAAAAAAAAAAACTGATGTTGTTTAGGTTTTCAGCTGTCTGTATGTTCGTATAGGCCAGCTTTGGTTAGTTGATGTTTTCAAAGCAGTTTAATGCCTCGTGTAGCAAGGTGGCTGTATTTAGGGGAGCTATGGATGTATTAGTAATAGAGGCTGTACATTTGAAGACATTTGTTATATATTCTGGAGCTCAGATGTTAGCAAGGGTCAACAGGACCCATTTTTCAAGTATTAATATGAATCAACACAAAAATACTAGGGCAAAAGAACTCCTGCATCCATTTTGATTGTTAATGCCTTTTGGTTCCTAACAAGTAACACTAGTAATGAGCACATCCCATAAACAAGGAATAATATTTCCAAGACAGCTTAAACAAGGCAGATGTGAGTGAGTTACATAAGAGCTGAGAATACTAGTGAAGAACTGGCAAATATTATTTGAGTATTGGACTTGAAAAAATATGGTCAGAAATTATTTACTATCACAGGTAACGTATACATTAGTATGTAGACTTACTTTATTGTCCCATATGCTAAATTTTTTGCTGTACGCTGTTTGGATAAGGCACATGTATCCCAGGCAGACTTGAGAAAAACAAAACACTTTCATGATAGACTTGCACAGCAGGTATTGCTGAAAGGCAATACCAGTTCATTTTCCACTAGCATGTTATGCTTTATCTTATTATAACACCTGCAAGTGGCAAGTCATTTACCTTATATAAATTTCTTAAGGACACTTATAGTAAAAGGGCCTGTTTTGGCACAGCTTGTTGCAGCAGAAAGCTGCAAAAGGTCTGCAGACAACTTGGGCATCTCTCAGGGTACTGGTGTGCATAAAGCTACCACTACAGTGGTATGTGATGAAAAGCTGCCTGCTTTCAGGCAGATTCCAGTGGTGCAATCCAATCAGTGGAGAACTGCTGCTGGTGATGTTGAAATAGATGCATCTGTAGGGAGGACTGGGAAAACCTGTGCAGCTAGCCATGCAGTATGTAGATACAAAGTTGGTCACTTGGCATTTCCTAAGAGGACATCTGTCTGTTGCTAGTAAGCTTACCTGACTTTTGGTCATAAAGTTCTTTATCACTTGCTGCAAAGTAAATAGTGACTATTTCCATTACAAGTCCTTGCACTGTTGAAATAATCCACTTCTCAAGATGGACAGCTAGTAGCTACTGACAAGTAGTTGTCTGATGGCTGCTTTGTTTATCCACAAATGAACGCTGCAGCCTGGCAGTGTGCCTGTTTGAAGTGGCAGGCCACCCCCCGGGTTTTCCCAGCTGGGCTCCACGTGGTGAAGGTAGCGCTTTGACGTGACTCGCATGGTGAAAGCCACCCGTTCAGTGAGCACGTTTTTTTCCAGGTTAGATGCCAGTGAAACACATAATGCATAGAGAATTTGCAGTGCTAATTCTAGGAGCAGCAGTCATCAGTTATTGTCAATGTGATGGGCTATTTGTGCTATTAATGTCCCAGAAGACTTTCTCTAGTTGTCTGTATTCATTATTGCTTTGTTAGGCACCAACACAGACAATATTAGTCTGATCCTTAAACCTAGAATTTTTCTTACTGCATCTAAAACTAATCTAGAACTATCTGATGTGTGTACTCTTCATATACTAAATGAGTTATTGGTTTTCTCCATATCTTCTGCATTACCAATTTAGTTAGCTTATACAGGATACGTTGTGGAAGTGTCCTGACACCAATCTCTAAAACTCATCTTTTCCATGTAGCTTTTGCCATCAGGCCTAGAGTATGAGCAGAGGACTTCTAAGAAGAGGAGTATGTCTAGGGTTTTTTTAATTCCCTTTTCTCCTTCTGCTTCAACTCCCACCACTCCCTGCAATGTCACTGCTCTCTGTGCACTTCCAGTGGGAATCTCTGTTCACACATGTTTGGTTTTGATGTAGTACCTGAGTATATGCTTTTGTTGTTTCACCACTTGCTTATGGTAACTGAGAGAGCATGATTATGATAAATATTGGGAAAAGGAGTTCTCAACACATTCACATCTCTAGGTTGGCCCTTTTTACAAATTTGATGGCAATTGTGATGGGGAAAGCACTTTTTTTTGGTTTTTTTTTTTTTTTGGTTGTTTGTTTCCATCTCATTTTAAATGGAAACTTTCCTGATAAAATCAAAGTGTGTATTTCTGATGAGCAACATTACAAAAGATTAAGTATTTCTCTTTTGGCATGCAGTAATGATTTTTGAATTGTAACTATGTGACTAAACTTGAATGTAAGAAGTTGATGTGTTTTGTTTTGTTTGCTTTTGTAGCTGGTATGGCAGAAGCAGATAGTTCCTCTCAGGATGCAATAGGTCTCAGCAAACTTGGAGGTCAGGCAGAAAAGAACAGGAAACTGCAGAAAAAGTAAGCTTTTGTTGTTGTGTGTGCTTGTTTGTTTGTTCTTATTTTTACTGTCCTTTAAAGAATTTATTCATGATTTTTTTCCTGACTCTTTTTCAGATATTTATGCCACTCAGGGTCACTGTGGACTATTTATTTGTTTGTTTATTTTCCATCACCTTTCCAGAACTTTAGTAGTACTTAAGTGTTGCCAAGTTTGAAATTAAAGTTTCAGTGCTGACAGTGTATTGTTCAAATGTGGTCATAAACAAACAAAAAACAAAGAAGATAAAAGTGGACTCCTGTGAAACATTCCCCCAGATTTGTTGTAATTTAATACCTGCTCTGGCTTTAATTCAGTTGAGTTTTTTCCCAAAGCCGAAGTTGTCTTTGGCTGCTATCTGCACCACAGCATGAAAGAGCCACTTGATGTTTTGGATGTAGGGAATCCTTTTGGACCAGTGCTTGCCGGTTCCTAACTGGTGACTCTAGAACTCCTTGCTTGTTGCTGTTGCTAGTTCCTCGGGTGTTTTCACTCTTTATACTTCTGCTTAAGGTTTTTTGATATTTTCTGGTTTATTTTAATGTCTGAAATCTATTTTTCCTTGATATATGTAAATGGTAGTACAGAAAACACTCAAACCTGTGTAAGCAGGAGCAGCCTTTCTTTGCATTTTTCTCTTCCAGAGGGTGGGTCATATAATTTTTTTATTCTGTTTGGCTGTCACTGTTTCCTGTGTCAGAAAAAAGCTGATTGAGGTCAGACATTTATGCCTTGCTCTTTTTTCTTCTTCTGGAAGACTAAGTAATGAATGTTGAAAGGAAAGTATGCAAATTTTCTCTAAGAGATTCCTTGTAAAATCTGAGTTCTGTTGGTGAAAGAAAATAATACCTGGTGCTTTTGCTAATGAAAAACAATGGTGTGTTGGTTTGCAAAGTCGGAATGGAATGTGATTTGGTTTATATGACAGAATGGTCAACTGCCTTTCTTCACACTGTTATAGTGAAGGAAATCTTGTGTTGTTAGGATCTGCTCTTTTCCCTTTTTTGCAAAGCTGTAAAATCATACCAGATCTTGACTGAATAAATGGCTTTAGCCTGGAGATAGCTGAATACTGGTAGGCCTCTTCTTGAGCAATTTAGATCTTTCTTAATACCACAACAAATTTAATTCTATACTAATAGTCTACTTGTCTTACTTTAATAAATAGAAAAAGTGCAGGTGCAGGTAAATTGTTATTTGCCTGTGTTTAAATTATAAGCAGGTGCGTAAAAATAGAATAATTATATTTTTATTTCTTGATAATTTATAATATGAAATATACAAAATAAAGTATATAGAGGAGATTATATATATAAAGAAATATATCAATACATTTTTTCCTGTCTTTCAAAAATTCACTGCTGTTATTTTTAAGTGTACCACCTCATAGTTGCATGTTGTTGGTTGTCAACTACTTGCTGAGTTGCTGAAAAACAAGTGTGTATTTGACAAATGCAAACATCTGCTTTGCAACTGACTTGTCTGCAGCAAATGCTGAGACACAAAATGATTGCACAGTGTGACCAATAAGTGAAAAATATAGATAAATTGGAAGACATGTAGGATGTGTTGGAGATTCCAATTACAGCAGGCATGAAGCAAGGCTGTGCTGCTGGAAGCACTTAAAAGGTATAGCTTTATTGCTCCTACTGCTGAGAGCAGCAGCAAAGCGCTCTGACCTTCCACAGGAATCAAATCTACCAAGGTAAAAATCCCAGCACTGTCCCTCAGTTCAGCAGTTCCTGAATCCTGCGCAGGCTCCTGAGGCAGGGAGCAGTGTCGCCCCGTGTTCCTCTCGCGCACACGCGCGCGTGCCCGCGTGCGAGCAGCTCCCACGGGCCGCTTGCTGTGACGGGGAGCGGGAAGGGCTGTGTCACGTTGTCAAGTGCGCACGTGCAGCGAGTGACACGTGTGAGCCTGCCCATTAGCCGGGTAACTGCTCGTGTTTATACTGCTTGCTCTTTGCAGTCTCTCTTGGGTTACCTTTTAATTTCTGTGTGTGTACATGCAAACAGGCTGAGGGCAGCATTCAGTGTCTTTGCTCATAGAAACCTACTTAAAGCTAGAGCTAAATTACGGGGTGTGTGATTTGTCTGCGTGTGTGTGTGTGTGTTTTTTTTTTTTTTTTTTCTTTTTCTTTTTCTGTATGCCTTTGAGCTCAATTTAATCTTAGATTTTTTTCCCTCATTGTTTTATTTTCCTTTTGTTTGCCATTTGATGTGGTAGTGCAAAATCAGGGTAAGTTTATATATATATATATGCACTCACACACACACATATATATATATAGAGGTGTGTATATATGTGTGTGTATATATATATTTAGGATTGATGTGGATTTATGAGAAATTGTTTGAATTTTTTAGCAATACATAAAAAGATCTTAAAAGTAATTATCAGAGGAGACACTAGATTCAGAAATATTGTGGAAACATTTTTCTGAAATGTATCCTCCATCTTTTTAATGCCAGTTCAAATTGGTATCTTAATTGGCATGGTGTGAAGTTTTATATTGAAAATATTTCATCTTATTTAGTTGGAAAATGTTTTTATTTTAGATTTTTAAAGTTTTAAGAGCAGTAGACAGTCACATCCCTTCACTTACAGGATATTTCAGTAAAAATGTCATTCTTCGTTTACTGAGTTTAAGATGTTTTTAGTGATTCATCCATGCTGTTCCCTCTCTTTTTGTGAGCCGTACTGTGGGCAGTGTTTGACATAGCTGTATTTGTGCTTTTACATGTGCATAGCAAACTTTCAATAATATTGTATTAATCAAAAAGGAAGGCAAACCTAATTAGGCAAATTTAAAATGACCCTTCTAAATAAAAATTCATCCATGAGAAGTTTTTGGTTACCTACTTGTAATCATTATATAATATTAGCTTTCTAGAAAGATCATTCTTTTGTATTTCCAAAAGCAGGATACAGCTTTTCTTCCACACTAAATATTTCCTGTGCAGTTCAGCTTACATCACTGTGTAGTCCTTTGTCTTGGCAGATGCATCATTGCATCAATAAGTCTGAGAAAGAAAGAAAGAAAGAAAAATAAATGTTACAAATAGGAATGGGAGTGCTGTGCTTAAGTTCTTATATCTGCATTAGTTTCTGTGTGTTTTACTAACAGTTTCTGTAATTGTAGGCATGAGTTGCTTGACGAAGCCAGAAGACAAGGACTGCCTTTTGCACAGTGGGATGGGCCTACTGTGGTTGTGTGGTTAGGGTGAGCAGTCTGTTCAAAAAAAAAAATAGTAATAAAAATCAGGATTTCGGGCGTAGGACTGTTTTCCTTATCCTGCTTGCTTCCTGTTTTGTGTTTCAGCTGTGGGTAGGGATGCCGGCCTGGTACGTGGCCGCTTGCCGAGCGAACGTGAAGAGCGGCGCCATCATGTCGGCCTTGTCCGACACAGAGATCCAGCGCGAGATCGGCATCAGTAACCCCCTGCACAGGCTGAAGCTGAGGCTGGCCATCCAGGAGATCATGTCGCTGACCAGCCCCTCTGCGCCTCCCACCTCCAGGACGGTAAGGCCGGAGCAAGGCCCTCCGCCAGCACGCGGCCTCCAGCACCCCCAAACTCCTCCTGAACCGTGGAGCCCCAGGGGGTTGAGCTTCAGATTAGGATTTCTGGAAATGTATTGCAAACTCTAGCTGAACGCATGGTTACTTAAATACGATGTCTTTTCCTTGCATAGAAGTTAAATGAAGGAAATACTGCCTTTTTTTCCTAAGGGAAATACATATATTAGCTTATGTTAGCATAAGAATGCAATCTAAAAATATAATCTAAAATATTTAGAATACATGTTATTTGCCTCATTGTTTGATGACACCCCCAAAAACTGTAATACAGAAAAGTATACAAGTATGAACAGAAATTCATAGAGTATTTGGAAGCTTTTTATTTCTCTTATCCATGTAAGGCCAAACAGTGGTTGAGACTGCATAATCTCAGAGCCTGCCTGTCTGCTCTAAGGAAACATCAGCAAACTTAGCCATGCAGCCTTGCTGTGAATTCCCCATCATGGGACTCTGTCTATCCTGGAGTCTAAAGTTATTTGTGCTTTCTGGGGCTATGTACTAGGCTCCAACTGCACTTTTCAGATTACAACCTAACCAGGTGTTTGTTGGTTAATTACTTCAGTGTAAGCTATTTATCACATTCAGTTTTGCTAATATCTTGGAAGAAAAGTGATCCATGTTAATAGGTTTTTATTCTATGCCATCATTTTAGATAGATAACCTATACTTAAGGCTAGGAACCATTGCTTTGCCCATGCCTGCTCCTTGTATGTACCGATTGCTTATATGTTCTGCAACCTTTCCTCTTTGTTACTGCTTTCCTTTCATTGGATGTGCTTGGTTCACTGTGGGGTCATGTTAGACTACGGGAAATGTCTGGGTAACACATGAAGAGATGGAAAATCTTACAGCCACCCAGCAAACGGTTAGTTTACGGTGTTGCCGTTTCTCTTGAGTGCTTTTTTTTTTTCCTCACTTTTTAAACACTTGAATCAAATGCATTTTGATCTTTTTCCAAAAAAAAAGTCTTATTTTAGATTATGGCTTCTTCTAATTATTAACCTTGTAACCTGTATCTTGATACATTTTTCCAGAAGGGGGAAAAAAAAATCAACCTTGATATTACTGCAAACAAAATCTGTAATCAGAGGGGGCTCTGATTTGCTTACCTATGCATGTAGCCAAACTGAATTATTTGTGTATCAGTTTCCTTCTCCCCCCCCACCCCTCCATGAAACCTAATTAGTAGATGGATTTTCCAACTTCTAGGAAAATGAATATCTTGTATTTTTTTTTAAATGCATGATGCTTGCTTTATCTAGATTTTTTTCATGTGCAGTAGACTTAATCTTGCAGTGAATCTGTAACAGTGATCTCCTTACTAAACTTAAATACTAATACATATGTGTTCTTTTGCTTTTCTAACCACCTAACAGGAAGATGAGGAGGGAAGCTGGGCTCAGGTTGGAAACTTTATGTAATATTATAGTGTATATTTGAATAGTCATAATCAGAGCATGAAAGAATCTGTTTTCTTTTATAGCTGTTTCCTTCAGTGAGTGTTGGTGTGTCTTAGGGGTTCGGAGAGGAGGAAGCTATTACAGGTTTATCTCTATATAATACATAGTTTAAATAAACGCAGTTTAAAGTTATACTTTTATATTTAGGCGTATTTAGAGGTGTAAGTATTTTCTAGCACTTCCCAGATTAGCTGGTGTAAAACACTGGAAAAAAAATACTAACTTTGTTCCATGTATATCCCAAAGTAAAGTTTTGCCTACTTTTTAATAGTAGGACAATTAGAGGAAGAGTGTTCTTGCTAGCAAGTGTCTTTCTTGTTAGCTTTCTGAAATACTTTCTCACTAGCTAAGGAATCACCAGAATGAAGTTATTCTTTCTTAATGAGCATTGTAACATTCTGTGTATGAACAGGGTAGATCAAATAAATGTTAAAATAATTTTAAGACATAAAGCTTGGAACGTTAGAGGTGGGAGGAACTCTGAGCAGCCAAAGATCCAGTGAAGATACCTGCTCTATGTAGAAAGTCCCTGTCCATCTTGTCCACCCTCATAAGTGCTACAATACAGACTGACTGTAGGTAGTTAATGAGATTTCTGTATATTAATAACTCTCTAATCATCCTTGGCTCATTGTTTTCCCTTAAAGTGATGATGAATCCTATTTGTATAAACAAAACTGAGGACTTGTCTGTGCCCCATATCTTGAAATAAAAAATTCTCTTGGCTGTCCTCCAGCTTAAATCTGGGTTTTTTTTGTCCCATAAACTACTCAGGTGCTCATTTGTCAGTTATAAAAATCAAAGCTTGACACCTTATTAGAAGAGTAATGCTCCTTCAGTTTGCTATCTGGATTCAAAACATTTGTAGTACCCAATATTTTAAGTTGCTTATTTTTACAGACCTAAACATTAAATAAGCATTGTTTTAGATTTTTCTTTAAAAAGCTTTTCTCTGTGTATTAGTTTTCTCTTTATATTATTATTTTAATAAGCTTATTCCTTTATTTTTTTAAAAAAATAAAAACAAAACCAACAGACATTAGCCTATGGTGATATGAACCATGAGTGGATTGGCAACGAATGGCTCCCAAGTCTGGGACTCCCTCAGTACCGCAGCTACTTCATGGAGTGTCTTGTTGATGCTAGAATGCTGGATCATCTCACCAAGAAAGATCTCCGTGGACAGCTTAAAATGGTGGACAGCTTTCACAGGTAACTAAATTTAAGCTTGGAGAGCAGACTTGCAGATGTTTCAGTTGTCGTCTATATTTGTGTGTGTGTCTCTATATATATATCTCTCTATATATCTCTATATATATTTTTTTCTTTTCTAAACAGAAACAGTTTTCAGTGTGGAATTATGTGCCTGCGAAGACTGAACTATGATCGAAAGGAACTTGAGAGAAAAAGAGAAGAAAGCCAGAAGGAGATTAAAGGTTAATGCTCTGTCTTGACATCAGTCTAAATCTAACCTGATTTCACTGATAAGCCTCAAATATATTATAAAGTTGGAGGAGTTATTTGTGAAAAAATGTTAAATGTTGGAGATGCATTTACATGCAGGCCTTGAATAGTGAATTATGAAGTACACCACAGAATCCTTCACCTCTTGCAGAGGTGTGCAAAAGTTTCTCTGAACTAAACATTTTGAGGGTGAAGTTTTTTTTTTTTTTTTTTTTTTTTTTTTTTTTTTTTTTAAAAAAAAATTTTTCCCGTTTTTAACAT